AGGAAGTGAATACTGAGCGATGATCTACAGGAAGTGATGGAATCTGAGAACCATTTAAAAAAGTCAAATAAATTGACAAGATTTTAAACCTCCTGTGGATAAGGTGAGAGAAAAGCCGATTGGAGTGGCCGGGCCAGAAATGGCATTGGAGAATGCTTCTATTTACTATGAAAAGTGAAATTCTGCCGAAAAGGTGAACTTGTCATTTAGAGAATTTGTAAAGCCAACATTTCCTATTCCTGATATGTGCCTGCTGTACCATGTACATGTATGACATATGTACATATGTATTATCTTTGTATTGTTTCTTTTGTGTGAAATCCCTTGTGTTCCTGCCAGTGCTTCTGCTTACCTACTTAAAAAAAAAAAAACAAAACTGACCACACCAGGCAGGAGAGCACAGCATGGTCAGTTCTCTGGCTGTGCTGGGAACTCAGCCTGCAATCCTCTAATATTCAGACTTATCCTGACACGCCTACTCCTGCATAGCCATTCACTGGAATGATCAGTGTTCTGCTTTTTCCTCTCCTCCAGCTCTTATGCAGCTGAGAACAGATGGAATGTGATCACTTATAACAAAAGAAAAAAAAAAAAGGTATTTATGTTTTGTTTTGTTTTTTTTTTACAATTATATAAACATTTTGCCTTTCATTTCTCTTTTAAATGGAATGATCAGTGTGCTGCTGTTTCCTCTACTCCGGCTCTTATGCAGCTGAGAACAGATGGAATGTGATCACTTATAAAAAAAGGAAAAAAAAAAAAAAAAAAAAAAGAAAGGTATTTATAATGTTTTTTTTTATAATTATACACCAACATTTTGCCTTTAATTTCTATTTTAAATGGAATGATCTGTGTACTGCTGTTTCCTCTCCTCCGGCTCTTATGCAGCTAAGAACAGATGGAATGTGATCACTTGAAAAAAAAAAAAAAAAAAAAAAGTTTTTTTTTTTTGTTTTTTTTTAGAATTATACACAAATGTTTTGCCTTTCATTTCTATTTTAAATGGAATGGTCAGTGTACTGCTGTTTCCTCTTCTCTGGCTCTTATGCAGCTGAGAACAGATGGAATGTGACCACTTATTATAAATACCTTTTTTTTTTTTACTTTTGTTATAAGTGATCACATTCCATCTGTTCTCAGCTACATAAGAGCTAGAGGAGAGGAAACAGCAGCACACTGATCATTCCATTTAAAATAGAAATGAAAGGCAAAACGTTTGTGTATATTTCTAAAAATAAAAAAACATAAATACCTTTTTTTTTCTTTTTTTATGTTTGTTTTTTTTTAGAAATATACACAAACGTTTTGCCTTTCATTTCTATTTTAAATGGAATGATCAGTGTGCTGCTGTTTCCTCTCCTCTGGCTCTTATGCAGCTGAGAACAGATGGAATGTGATCACTTATAAAAAAGGAAAAAAAAAAAAAAAAGAAAAAAGGTATTTATAATGTTTTTTTTTTTATAATTTTTATAATTTTTTTATATAATTTTTATAATTATATACAAACGTTTTGCCTTTCATTCTTTATTTTAAATGGAATGATCAGTGTGCTGCTGTTTCTTCTCCTCCGGCTCTTATGCAGCTAAGAACAGATGGAATGTGATCACTTATAAAAAAAGGAAAAAAAAAAAAAAAGGTATTTAAAATGTTTTTTTTCTTTTTAGAAAAATACACAAATGTTTTGCCTTTCATTTCTATTTTAAATGGAATGATCAGTGGGATGCTGTTTCCTCTCCTCCGGCTCTTATGCAGCTGAGAACAGATGGAATGTGATCACTTATAAAAAAGGAAAAAAAAGAAAAAAGGTATTTATAATGTTTTTTTTTTTTATAATTTTTATAATTTTTTTATATAATTTTTATAATTATATACAAACGTTTTGCCTTTCATTCTTTATTTTAAATGGAATGATCAGTGTGCTGCTGTTTCTTCTCCTCCGGCTCTTATGCAGCTGAGAACAGATGGAATGTGATCACTTATAAAAAAAGGAAAAAAAAAAAAAAGGTATTTAAAATGTTTTTTTTCTTTTTAGAAAAATACACAAATGTTTTGCCTTTCATTTCTATTTTAAATGGAATGATCAGTGGGATGCTGTTTCCTCTCCTCCGGCTCTTATGCAGCTGAGAACAGATGGAATGTGATCACTTAAAAAAAAGGAAAAAAAAAAGAAAAAAGGTATTTGTTTTTTTTTTTTTTATAATTATACACAAACGTTTTTGCCTTTCATTCTTTCATGTGTATTTTAAATGGAATGATCAGTGTGCTGCTGTTTCCTCTCCTCCGGCTCTTATGCAGATGAGAACAGATGTAATGTGATCACTTATAAAAAAAAGGAAAAAAAAAGAAAAAAAAAAAAGAAAAGGTATTTATGTTTTTTTTTTTTTTTTTTTATAATTATACACAAACGTTTTTCCTTTCATTTCTATTTTAAACGGAATGGATTTGTTTTACAAGGTGAGGGTTTACATACACTTTACAGATGCAATTTTATTGTGAAGAAGGAAAAATATCGAAAAAATAAACCACAGTAATTGCATGCAAATAAGAACAATCTACAAATAAATACTCAGTTTGAATGTTTATTTCTAATATCATTAGATTTTTAAAAGAAATTTACACTCCTCCGTTTGACATTATTTTGCTTCTACCGCAACGTTACAAGTGATAACGATAATAATAAAAATAAAAAAAAAAACAAAAAAAACAAAAAACAAAAAAAAACAAAACAGTTCCACATAACGGATTCAAAAGTACCCACAGTGACCTTTTTTTTAAAGGGAGCGTAGAAAAATTGACAAACACACAGTGGGAATAAAACAGTAGTTTGCACACACAAGCAGAAATCCTGGGAAGGGGGGGGGGGGGGGGGGGGGGGGTGAGGGGGGGTGATTTGGGCACCAAAGGCAATTTTGAGTAACTGGAAGACCATGACTAGTAATTAGTGAGTTTAGGCACAGAAAGGTAAATTACTATGACGACTTCGAGCATTGCTACGTTGGGAGGGAAGCAGTGGTCTCTAGGTCTATGCATAAAACTTACAACACAATTTTTTTTTTTGAACACGATTATTATGGATTACCACTCTGTCAAAGACGGACAGCCAGGGAGGTCTGTAATAGCAATTTTTTTTTTTTCTATTTAGGGACAATTTTTTTTTTCAAATTTTATTCCGTGTACATTTTGGATAAATAATTTGCTAAATCCCATGTCACCATTTTTTTTTTTTTTTTTTTAACCATATATAAAGGAATCGTTTTCACGCCTATGAAAAAGGAATATAAAAGACACGGTTTTGGGTAATAAGGGATCTTAGAACAAATGGGGACATACAAAAATGTGTTTCAGAACACCAAATTTAAATATTTTGTTTCTACGTTACAAGAGTCCCCTAACACAGTCATTCCTGCAACGACAAAACGGATATTCTGCTAGTAAAGGAACTAGTACTGTACATGCACTTGTCTGTAATATACGTACACCGCAGGCTAAGGACCATGCAAGTTAACGCCTTAGTCGACCGTTGGGACAAGTACTCAAACAGAAAACATAGATCTTCTTTATAAATTCTGCATACATTTTTTTTTTTTTAATTCTGTAAAATGATTGTACAAAAAAAGTCACAAAAATAAAACAAAAATGGACAAAAGAACTGCAATAAAAACAAGAAATAAAAATAAAAACAGCATTTAAAAAACCTGGTATGTTGTGTCACACGTTAAAGTGTAAGTTCACCTTTTGCAGATCAACAAATGTGAAAAACTGCAAGTGCATCACACATGCTGATACAGTTCATATATATATATATAGAGATATATATATATATATACTTAGTTCTCAATATATCTTGTACATCCCTAGTTTTAGAGGACTTCTACTTAACATTTCCTTCTTTATTGTGCGGGTGGTGTATTGGTGTAAGGTTCATTTGTTTCCTATACAATGGGGTTCTGCACATACACAAATCACCGTCAACCAGCATTTGAAAAAGTAAATGGGGTCAGACAGATCTAGGAAACTGAAGGGGTCATGAAAATGGGGAAATAAAAATGGTTGATAATGTAAAACAGAAAAAATGGAATGCAAAGTAAAACCACTACAAGGCCAAATGTTTGTGGACACCGGACCACCACATCTAGATGAGCTTTTTGAACATCCCATTCCAGAACTAGGGGCATTTATACCTCCCATTTGTGGACACCTGGCCATCACGCCTAAATGAGCTTGTTGGACATCCCATTCCAGAACTATTTATACTGAGTTGGCCACCTCCCCTTGGTGGCAAGACATTTGTGGACACATGACCATCACACCTAGATGAGCTTTTTGAACACCCCATTCCAAAATGATGGGCAATTTTACTGAGTTGGCCCCTTTCCCTTGGTGGCAAGACATTTGTGGACACCTGACCATCACACCTAGATAAGCTTGTTGGACATGCAATTCCAAAACTATTTATATTGAGCTGGCCCCTTTCCCTTGGTGGCAAGATATTTGTGGACACATGACCATCACACCTAGATGAGCTTTTTGAACATCCCATTCCAAAATGATGGGCATTTATACTGAGTTGGCCATTTTCCCTTGGTGGCAAGACATTTGTGGACACCTGACCATCACACCTAGATAAGCTTTCTGAACATCTCATTCCAAAAGGATGGGCATTTATACTGAGTTGGCCCCCTCCCCTTGGTGGCAAGACATTTGTGGACACCTGACCAATACACCTAGATGAGCTTGTTGGGACATCCCATTCCACAGCTATGGGCATTTATACTGAGTTGGCCACCTCCCCTTTGTGGACACCTGGCCATCACACCTAAATGAGCTTGTTGGACATCCCATTCCAGAACTATGGGCACTGATACTGAGTTGGCCATCTTCCTTTGGTGGGAAGACATTTGTGGACACAGGACCATCACACCTAGATAAGCTTGTTGGACATCCCATTCCAGAACTATGGGCATTTATACTGAGTTGGCCCCTTTCCCTAGGTGGCAAGACATTTGTGGACACCTGACCATCACACCTAGCTGAGCATGTTGAACATCCTATTCCAAAACTGTGGTCATATATACTGATTTGGCCCCCTCCCTTGGTGGCAAGACATTTGTGGACACCTGACCATCACACCTAGATGAGCTTGTTGGGACATCCCATTCTAAAGCTATGGGCATTTATACTAAGTTGGCCACCTCCCCTTTGTGGACACCTGGCCATCACACCTAAATGAGCTTGTTGGACATCCCATTCCAGAACTATGGGCATTGATACTGAGTTGGCCACCTCCCCTTGGTGGCAAGATATTTGTGGACACCTGACCATCACACCTAGGTGAGCATGTTGGACATCCCATTCCAAAACTATGGGCATTTACACTGAGTTGGCCCCCTCCTCCTGGTGGCAAGACATTTATGGACACCTGACCATCACACCTAGATGAGCTTGCTGGACATTCCATTCCAAAATTATGTGCATTTGTACTAGTTTTGCCCCCCTCCCCTTGGCAGCAAGACATTTGTGTGACACCTGATCATCACACCTATAGGAGCTTTTTGGACATCCCATTCGAACAGCATGGGAATTTATACTGAGTTGACCCACTTCCCTTGGCGGCAAGACAGCCTTCTCTCTTGCAGTAAGACTTTCTACAATTTTTTGGAGTGTGTCTGCGGGAAAATGTGCCCATTCAGCCAAAAGAACATTTGTAAGGTCATGTACTGACATTGGATGAAAAGACCTAATAGAAAAAGAGGGGATCACCTGCACTCGACTGAAGATCAAACAACAACGTATGTTTTTTCAATTTGTTTTTTACAGTCACATAAATCAAATATTGCCAACATTTTAGGGCCTCACAGGTTCCTTCTGAGTCACCTTGACGTGACATTTTGAAGAATAAGCAAATGTTGTTCTTTGATCTTCAGTCAAATGCTAGTGACTCCTTCCTTTCCTTTTTGGTATAAAAAGACCTGACTAGCAACTGGCGTTCCACTAAATACCATAGGTATTCAGTAGGGTGGAGGTCATGGCTGTGTACAGCCTACTCAAGATCTCCCATACTAAACTCATCAAACCATGTCTTCATGGAGTTGGCTTGTGCATGTGAGAACAGAAACTATATGAGCTTGCTGGATATCCCATCCCAAAACTATAGGAACAGGAGTTGGCCTCCCCTTGGAAGGAATGGCAGCTTACACTCTGAGTTTTTTTGACAGCATTTTGAAGTATGTGGGAAATTGTGCCCAAAGAACATTTATGAGGTCAGGTACTGATATTGGTTGAAAAGACCTAAAAGAAAAGGAAAGAGTGACCAAGGGTGATAGACAGTGCTAGTAATGACAGCAACAGATGGTACCACCACGCAATACCAAAAAAAAACCCCCAAAAACAGCAAAAAATTGCAAATATCGCAAAAGCTTTGGGGTCTCACAGGTCCTTTTCTATTCAACTTAATGTAACATTTTGAAGAATAAACACACATTGTTCTTTAACCTTTAATCGAGTGCTCGTGATTCCATTTTCTTTTAGCGATTGCATGGCGCCATCCATTGCTGTTATTACTGGCACTGTCTATCTGTCCTAGTCACTGCATGGGGTGAAGTCCAGAGTTGTATAAATTCATGGATGAAAAAAACCTAACTTGCCACTCTCGTTCCAACCAAAAAATGTAATGTAGAGTTGAGGTCAGATCTCTGTGCAGGACACTCAAGTTCTTCCACACCAAACTCATCAAATGATGACTTTATGGACTGCAGAGAAGATATTTTGCTCCTCTCAAAGCAGTTACCCCCTCCTCCGCTGATTGATCAGTGCTGGCTTCAAGAAGTGTGCTGCTAGCTCCACAATCATAACCAACCAACCAAGAAAAAGAAGCCGCTCTCTCCATCATAAAAGCCTGATGTGAAGATTTATTGGTATTATCCGATACAGAGGCTGTTCCACCTCCTCCTCCGCCCGCTAACACATTTTACTCTGTTAGGAGCCTCATTGCAGTTTTTCTTTCTTAGATGGTCATGTCTTTATGTCGCTGGCTTCGTGGCCAAGGTTCAGCTATGTTAGAGCAGGGGGCTCCAAATTTTCTAAACCAAGGATCAGTTCACTGTCCTTTAGACTTCGGGGGGCAGACTGTAGCCAGTGGGAGTAGAAGACTCCCCAGAGTTAGTGGGAGTAAACAATAACTTGGTGGTCGGTGGGAGTAAAAAAGATTATGTAAAAATTACTTGGTCAGTAGAAGGAGGAATAGTGCCCCATTGGTGGTAATAATGGGACAATAGTGTTCCAGCATTCATATATCAGTGAAAGTCATAGTACCCTATTGTTGGCGTCAGTAGAGGGAATAGTGTCCCATCGTTGATGTGAGTGGAAATAATAGTGCCTCATTGTTGATGTTAGTGGGAGGAATAGTACCCCATTGTTGGTATCAATGGGAGGAATAGTGCCTCATTGTTGGTGTCAATGGGGAATAGGAATAGTGTGCTCTATCACTGTGTGTCAGTGGAAGGAATAGTACCCCATGGTTGTTGTCAGTGGGAAGAGTAGTACAGCATTGTTGGGTGTCAATGAGAGGAATAGTGCCCGATTGTTGGTGTCAGTGGAAGGAATAGTGCCCATCATTGCGTGTCAGTGGAAAAAATAGTGCCCGATTGTTGGTGTCAGTGGTAGGAATAGTGCCCCATCCCTGTGTGTCAGTGGAAGGAATAGTACCCCATTGTTGGTGTCAGTGGGTGGGAAGAGTAGTACCCCGTTGTTGGTGTCAAGGATAGGAATAGTGCCCGATTGTTGGTGTCAGTGGGAGGAATAGTGCCCCATCACTGGGTGTCAGTGGAAGGAATAGTAGCCCATTGTTGGTGTCAGTGGGAAGAATAGTGCCCCATTGTTGGGTGTCAATGAGAGGAATAGTGCCCGATTGTTGGTGTCAATGGGAGGAATAGTCCCCATCGTTAAGTGTCAGTGGAAGGAATAGTAGCACATTGTTGGTGTCAGTGGGAAGAGCAGTACCCCATTGTTGGTGTCAATGAGAGAAATAGTGTACCAATGTTGGTGTCAGTGGGAGGAATAGTCCCCCATCGTTGGGTGTCAGTGGAAGGAATAGTACCCCATTGTTGGTGTCAGTGGGAAGAGTAGTACCCCACTGTTGGTGTCAATGAGAGGAATAGTGTCCCATTGTTGGTGTCACCGGGAGGAACAAGTCACCATTGCCCCATTGTTGGTGTCAGTGAGAGGATCAGTGCCCCATTTTAGGTGTCAGTAGGTCAAATAGTGCCTTTTAGGTGTCGTATTAATGGAATAGTGACTTCAAGGATCAGATAAAAGGCAAGAAAAGGGCCACAGCTTGGGGGCCACCCCTAAACCTCTGCTCCATGATTGGAGGTGCACAAATTCATGTATACTGTAGAATTAACAGAAGACTTCACTGAAAACCTGAAGTCAATTATTCAGAGATCTGTCCACATACGTGGTGCGATAGTGAGGTGTTCACAAAACCTTTGGCCATATAGTGCATAAGAGAAGTCAGAATATTCTATGAAGGTGAGCTTTAAAGAGAACAGGTCATGAAAGAAATACCCGAGATTCCACTAAGAACGCAGCTTGCGTGGCTGCCATGCTTGGATCCACTGCTTACGGGAAACGCCAATCAAGCCAAGTATTGCCAATGGTGCTGTCCAATCTAACCTGCACACTTGGTGTGGGGCAATGATCAGTGGATGGATCAGCATGACAACCAGGCAGCTAGCATTTTCAGAAGGGAGTCTGGAATGACATCCCAGGTACCTCTCTCTCCAAAAACGTTACTCAAAACTGGCTGAAACACATCATGACTTGAGGGCTGCGGTCTTGCACGGAAATTTGGCGCCAGTGTTACATACAAATATCCCAACAGTAGTGTTTAAAAATGGTTTTCCCCTTCTTTAACACAGATATATTCTACATTATTTGGAGTACAAGTATCTATAAATACTTTATACATCTTCACAGTTACAAACGTTTCCTCTTTTTCCCCTCCCCCCCATCTTGCCGTCTTCGAAACGCAACATCTCTGCATCACGCACACGAGATCGCAGTTTTCTGTACAACGTTGGGTGGAAACGTTTCTTAAAGTGCTAACCGCATGATCCTTTTAACATGTGAGCACTGGTCTCATTGAGCACATTCGCTTCTAGTATTTTATTGCTCTAAAAACATGAAGTCAACAAAATATCTGAACTCTCTTCATCAGGGCAAAAAAAAAAAAAAAAAAAAGAAAAAAAAATAAAATAAATAAATTAGGCATAGTTATTGGTAAAGCACTTTGCTACAAGTTTCTTCTAATTCAAGTACTTCTTCAAAAAAGAGATAACATCTCCGTCATAAATATATTTTCATCGAACGATTTCTACATCTTTGGTGCGCGGTGGGCAACACACGGAAAATAATAAAATAAGAAGAAGAGGGGGTCTAATGCAGGCCATAGACGGGGAGAAAACTGGCCGGGTTTTTTTTAAAAAAAACGAAAAAAATCGGTCGTTCAATCGACCGACGTTACCACCATTGGTAAAAAAAAAAATCGGCTGATTTTCGTCCCGTCTACGGCCGGCAAATATAATAGCGGTGTCCCTGCAGAGAGCTATTATATTTGACATTTAAAAGTATAGTGGTTGTATCTATTTGTATCCATTTCAGATACAGATGTTTCTATTCGGATACAAATAGATACATTGTTGCAACCGCTATATTTTTAAATGTCAAATCTAATAGCGGTGTCACTGCAGAGAGCTCCGCTATTATATTTGACATTTAAAAGTATAGCAAAGTTGCAACATTGTATCTATTTGTATCCATTTCGGATACAGATGTTTCTATTCGGATACAAGTAGATACAATGTTGCAACCGCTATACTTTTAAATGTCAAATATAATAGCGGAGCTCTCTGCAGGGACACCGCTATTAGATTTGACATTTAAAAATATAGCGGTTGCAACAATGTATCTATTTGTATCCATTTCAGATACAGACGTTTCTATTCGGATACAAATAGATACAATGTTGCAACCGCTATATTTTTAAATGTCAAATCTAATAGCGGTGTCCCTGCAGAGAGCTCCGCTATTATATTTGACATTTAAAAGTATAGCAAAGTTGCAAATTGTATCTATTTGTATCCATTTTGGATACAGATGTTTCTATTCGGATACAAATAGATACAATGTTGCAACCGCTATTAAATGTCAAATATAATAGCGGAGCTCTCTGCAGGGACACCGCTATTAGATTTGACATTTAAAAAATATAGCGGTTGCAACAATGTATCTATTTGTATCCGAATAGAAACATCTGTATCTGAAATGGATACAAATAGATACAATGTTGCAACTTTGCTATACTTTTAAATGTCAAATATAATAGCGGAGCTCTCTGCAGGGACACCGCTATTAGATTTGACATGTATAAGTATTGCGGTTGCAAACATTGTATCTATTTGTATCCGAATAGAAACATCTGTATCCGAAATGGATACAAATAGATACAGATGTTCTTCTTTTTCTTTGGTCACGGCTCATGCGCATTTTTTTTAAATCGATCATTGCCGTGAAAATCGTCTGA